TTCAAGTTTTGTGCAAAAACGCATGATCGCTCCGGCTCGCCTGGTGCGTTTCAGCCTACGTTGTATTTGTGTGTGTGTTCGTCTGTCCGGATATTTCAACTAGCCAAACACGCAAGCTTTGAAGCTGAAATTTTGCCGGTGTGTTCCCCAGCCATGTGCCATCCCATTTTTTTGACCGCAGTATTAATCCTCATGCACGTCTGGGCCCCGCGTACGAGCACGTGAAAGTCTTGGCGGGAATATTGCTAACTCGGGAACGAGAAAGGCTAGAAAACTGAAACTTTAGAGGAATGTTCCCTACCTGTTTACGACAAAAGGACTTCAAATTCAGCTACCCAGGACTGTCCGGGGCTTACATACGGGTACGTGGAAATTCATAACCCGGGAGTAAGACGTTGGGAACGTTTCCTACTCACGCACAACTAAAACTTTTCAAACTCAGCTCCTTAGAGCCGCCCGGAGCTCTCGGAAGGGCACTTTGAAATTTTTGCAGGAAAATCACTAACTTGGAAACGAGAAAATCTAGGAGACTAAAACTTCGGAGGAATGTTCTTTACTCATGTACGACCAAAATCAGCTGTCTAGGACTGCTTGGAACCCAAGTACGACACATGTGGAAGTTTTGACGGGAAAGTAGCTATCTCGGGAATGAGAAAAGTTAGAAAGTTGAAACTTTGAATTGGAAACATTCCCAAAATGTTCAGGGGAATGTTTCCAACTAATGTACAACCAAAATCAGGTGTTTAGAAGCGTCCAGGGCCCACGTACGGACATACGAGAATTTTGGGGAAAAACTACTAACTTAGAAACGAGGGAAGCCAGGAGGCTAAAGCTTCAAAGGTAAAATCAGTTGCTTAGAGGCGCCCGAGGCGCATGTACGCTACTTGTGAAAGTTTTGGTGCGGAAATTACTAACCCGGGAACGAAAAAAGCTAGGAAGCTAAAACGTTAGGGTAATGTTCCCTACTTATGTATGACCAAAAGATTTTAAACAGCTCCTTAAAACGTCCGGTACTTACGTACGAACACGTAAAAATTCTGATGGGGAAACTGCTAACTCGGGGACGAGAAAAGCTGGAAGGGAGTTTTCCCTGTTTATGTGCGACTAAAAGATTTCATATTTAACTCTACTAGTAGGATCTTTTTTGAGCACCAGCAACTTTCCGTTTGTCAGATCACTTAAGCGGACATCTACAACTGACACATTACATAGCTGCACAATTAGCTTCTCGCATTTCGAGGGCCAGTATGTCATAGGGCTAGCTACTGCAGTTCCTTGCTATCTTGCTACGACACGAAAAATGCAAAAACGCATGATCGCACTGGCCAGCCTGGTGCGTTCCAGCCTGGGTTAACTTAAGTTAACTTGGGTTAACTTAAGATAACTTGGTCGCTCTGTGTTAATTTTCCTACAAGAAAGTTCGGCTGTTTCTTTGTTTTTCAGTTTGCTTCAAGCTGTTAGTTTCAGTAAAAGAAAACCGTCATTTCATCTGAAACAGTTATTGGTATTTGCTGAGAGTTATAGGTATTTGCTGAATCGAAGAATCGAAGCGCCAGGTAACAAAATGAGTGTCGAATTCCGAGGTCGCTTTTTACGCGATACTAAAGAAGTTTTTGGTATCGACATCGTTTCTCTCGCCATTCAACAAGGACGCGATCACGGCCTATCCAGCTACAATGCCATGCGCTTACACTGTGGTTTCAAAAAGGCTAGAAGCTTTTCTTTTTATGTTTTTTCTCCTTATGTCTTGAGATTGCTCTGTTTGCTGCACATAAACTTTCATGCATTCCCGAAAAAATAATGGCTTATTTCGTTCAAAATTATATTTGGAATCGTGAAGTTGTGAAATTTCGAAGTCGAAATCCCTCTATTTTTCATTCTCTTTGAAAGGCAGAGAGTTCGGGAAGAGTTCTGACCAGTAGCGCTTTACTAATTGCACTTTCTCGCTGGTAAGGTCACTGATGGCTCACTTTTTGGGGGGTTGCTTAAAAACAAGTAGAATGTGCACTCCTTGCATGTATCTGCAGGAAAGATCCACTCTCTTCCAGTGAGGGTGCTCCGATTTTACTCCTCTACTCCTCAGTGCTTTTGCAAGCGCAGTAGTAAGTGCAGCGTATTTAGGCGGCTTCGTTTGATGAGCTTTCGTCATATTTGTCGCCAAATTTGAACCCAAATGAACTGGCAACTTTATATGAGCACGTGGACGATGTCGATTTGGTCGTGGGTGTATTAGCAGAACGGCCGACACGTGGTTCCCTGGTGGGTGACGT